TCAATTTTACAGAGAAAACTTTCTTACGTCACAAAGTGTAGATCCTAAGCAACCATCACATTTTCACTTTGTTCCATCATTGAAACTTTCCCAAGGGGAAGTGCATGACCTTTCAAGAGAGGTGGAAAAATTCTCAAGGGAGGTGCAAAACGATCTCTGGGGAGGTGCGCACCTCTCCACACTTCCCTCAAAATCTGGCCTTGATGCAAATAAATCACCACAGCTAGAAAGAGCATACTAAAATAAGTAAATTATTGCTAAGTTTGGTTGCGAATTGTTACAAAATACGGAAAATATAGCCTTGCAAAGTTTGCAAATTTTGTACACTTTTGTATTGCATGCGAAAATTGCAATTATACAGAAGGCTACATTTTCTACATATTTTACAACATTTTGCAAGCAAACTTTGGAATTTTACTAATTTTAGTATGCCCTTCCTGGGAATATACTTTTTTTGCTAAGATAAAAAATTAGTCTATAATGGGAATGTCTATTGGTCCCCATTACCTATTTTTCTTTCTCTAAAATAAACAGCTAGAGTTTGTTTCTCTAAATAAAGATAAAGAGCTAGAGGGGGGGGGGCAAAATTTATGTTCTTGTTTTGCCTGTTGGGGCAGGGCTCGAAATAACGGCCGATCAACGATCAATGATCGGCAGGAAATTGTTTTTGATCGGCGAAAAAGCAACGTTGCCGTTCATCTTGATCGGCAAGAAATATATTTGAGTAATTTGACCATTGTCTGAAAGACATGCTTATACCTGTACGCGGTAAAAGACAAATAAAAATAACATGAAACACATTCGAAAACGCGCGAAAAACTCTTGTTTAGTTGATACGAGTCATACGACAGGCCGCAATGCTATGAAGTATTGTCGTCTCCGCTTCAACAGTCTGCAATCCGAACCACGACGACGAACGTCTTTGTCATAATAATTTCAAATTGATAGGATTTCTTGAGTAAGATTTTTTAGGATTTTCTCTTTTAATATTAAATAATAAGTTTTAGTGAACTGCTGTGTCTCTTGCTTTTGTGCGAAAAAATACAATTACAGTATACTATAATTAAAACTAATTAAACTAAAGTTTGCTACTGTAATACATGTTAAATGTAGTTACACTATTAGTGTTGTCAGTATTGTATATATAAGTCCACAAATGTCATAGATTTAATTATTTAAACTTGAATTTGAAATGAAGTTATTAAACGTCCTCTTTAGATGTGTATTTAATGGCATATTTAGAATTTTTTCAAGGAAATGCATGAGGGCAAATGCTCCTGATCGGCTAAATTTTTATTTGATCGGCAAAAAGTCGTGATTGCCGATCACCGTGATCGGGAACGTTGGGAACGTTATTTCGAGCCCTGTGTTGGGGGCTTTGAAAATTTTACTTGTCTTAAGAGGGGGGCAACGAAAAAATATTACAACTGTAGAGTTTCTCCTCAGTCCCCCCCTGTACAATAAATAATGAGCGGTCCCTAACCGCTACAGAAAAACAGAACAAATTACAGTAAATCACAACAAACCGCGGAAGTGGGACAATTTTTGTATTTTTACTGTAAGACATGCAGAACATGTACGAAATCCATACAGAAGTGTGTGTGTATTCTATACTTTTGAAACAACTAAATCAGACTTCGGAAAATTTGACAGTATTAAAGCTACTTTTGAGAATTTAGATTTTAGGTCTTTGTTTTACATGTACCCAGTAAATATTTTTGAGTTTTGAACTTTGATTCTCACAAGCTTACAATTTGTTTACAATTTACTCTGCCTCTGGCTCTGCCGTGCTGCACGGCAGAGTTGATCGGAATTGTAACAAATACGCGGCACTTAAATGGCTTCCTGAATTTAGTCAATCAGATGTGTAAAAATTACTCGTTTCAATTTTATGTTTATGCTCGAAACTGCTCATGTTTACAATAGCAATTCTAACAATCTTGCCCTCCTTTTCGCCTTTGAGGCGTTGGTGTTGATTTATACACAAAACTCAAAAATATTTACTGGTCTGGGTACATGTAAAACGAAGACCTAAAATCTAAATTCCCAAAAGCAGCTTTAATAGAGGTCTGGAATCTTCGAGTTAAGCCCTTCGAGTTAAGCCCCTCGAGTTAAGCCCTTTTCGAGTTAAGCCCCGACCACGCCCTGTTTTGCCATGACCACGCCCTTTTTCAAAAAGGGCTTAACTCGAAGAACGAAACACGATTTGGGTTATTCGAGTTAAGCCCCGGGGCTTAACTCGAAGTTTGACAAAAAAGTTGTTGCTCGAGTTAAGCCCCGACTTTTGAAGTATGTCAACGAGTGCAAAATTAAATTGTCAAATTTTCAATACAAAAAAGCCAAAGCACAGAAATGTTCCGAAAAAGAACTTATATATCGCTAATGTAATACGATTATCAAAAACAAACACAACTATTATCGTATTTTAGGTATACTTTAGGTTTTTCATATTAACTTAATATTAAATTTAACAACAGGTATAAATTACTTTTAGTGGATCGTTTATCCACAACAAAACAACAAAACAATATTTTAATTATAAAGTAGATAGAATCCTAACTCGTTCCTTTTGTTTCAATGTGCACAATATCGACAAATTAACAGTTTTACTGTAACAGAACATCTATTAAGAACATGATCGAAAATGACAGCACGTAAAAACTAAAGAAAAAGGGAGGAAAGAGAAGGAATTTCGGTATAGAATGATCTGTCTTTGACAACTTGCGCCCAGAGACTCGCGCCTCATACGCACATGTACAGTAATTTTATTAGCCAAATGGTTACGAATCACGAATGGTTACGTTTGGGTAAACAAATTATCACGGGGAGAAATTGTTATATTTGAGTAAAATACCCAAATGTAACAATTTATCCCCGTAATAATGGCGCTACGTTGACTTGTATTATTAAAAAGGGAATATTTCCTGAGCGATTAGTAATTTTATAAACGAAATGGTGACGTAGCGCCATTATTACGGAGATAAATTGTTACATTTGGGTATTTTACTCAAATGTAACAATTTATCCCCGTGATAATTTGTTTTAAGGGACGGACCATTAGAAAAGTGATGGGGGGGGGAGGGGATTTTCTAAGAGGCAATATTTTTTTTTTTTGTACACCTATAGAAGAAATATATTTTTTTTCTCACTTGATGGTTGGAAATATATTTTTTTTAAGTGAAATTTATAGGCCTATCAGTGGTGTAGTCCTGGAATGTTAACAAGGGGGGCTCTCCAAAGTGTCCTGAATTGGCGTGAGGGGTGTACAATAAGATATTTTGGAAATTCTAAATTTTGTTGGGGTTTATTCTAGAAATTGTGGGACAAACATTCGACGTTATTCTTATTAAAAACAAAGGGGCTGAAAGCGAGGGCCGAAGGCCCGAGGAAATTTTTAAATTTAGAGTCTCTGAAATGCCATTTCCTGGACTTTGGGGAAGATTTGACAGAATTCTGATGGTCAGAAAACAGCGTTTTAGTATGTCGAAATTTACAATTTAGTTGTATTAAATGGGCGAAGGCGTATTTAGTTAACTATATATTGGATAAATTGCAGGAAATTATGGGTAATATCTTCATTCTTTGCAGTTTGTCATGGATAATGTAGCAGCTTACAATTAATCAATTGTCAGTGTTTTAAAGATATATTATTTAAATGTATCGAGTAGCTACAGATTTGTCCTTGGCACATATGGTAAAGACTCTACAATGTTTGAGCCTCTGACCGTATAGTGATGACGTAAACTTTATATAGGTCTATGCGCCGAGGGGACTGACCTAACCATGGCAGCCTATACTTGCAATGGGGGGCGGTGAGCTAACCTGTGCCTTGCCTGCGGTAGGAACGAGTGCTGCCTGCTCTCTCAGGCAAAATGTCTCTTCACCCTGCTGACGAACGCTAGAGGACACATGATTTTGTCAAAAGAATGATTATTAGCAAATTATGGGGGGGGGGCTGCAGCCCCAAGCCCCTCCCGTTGATACAGCCCTGGATAGAGTTTAAATCAGACAAAACAGGATCGGTATTTCAACAGCCAATTTGCTACGGCGCATGAACAACGCGGTATAAAGATTACAAAAATCATTATTGTGTTAAATGATGACTGAAAATGAGATACAATTCTAAAGAACATTCTCGTTTAGGGGCGGACCATTTGACTTTTGAGGGGGGGGGGTGGAAGATTTCGAAAAAAAATTTCCTGCAACCCAAGGAGAAAGAAAAAAAAATCATGCAGCACACAATCGAGAAAAAAAAATATCATGCAAAAGAGAGCGCTCAAAAAAAAATTTTCTACATGTAACTCTACTGATGCTCTTCACTTCAGTATTGTGTCCACAGGCTTGCAAGATTTTGCATTTTTGAGCAGGCACATTTGCTTAAAAGAACACGGGGTGAACAGTGGATAACATCACAGGGATTCTACCGCCTTTGGAGCCTCTGACATACGATAGCCAGTGGTGTTCCCTGGCAAAATTGTTGCCCCCCCCCCCTGAGAAAATCTGGGCTTAAGATAATTATCCATGGCTGAAAACGCAGGAAATAGCATTTCCGAGGTTCAAATTTTAAAATTTTCTCGGGGGAGCATGCCCCCGAACCCCCCAAGGTTACAGGTCATTCATATACTGTACCCTGCCCCATTTTCGAGTACTCTACTCTATCCCTGCATGTTTTAGGTTTTGGTGCAGTTATACATTCTTTGTAAGTAAACTTGCACGCTTTAGTGTGGGGAACATTAAGACATAACCATATATAAAATAAAGCACAGTGAAAATTCCTTGGCCCCTCTTGGGATTCAGTTCTCGGCCTCCTCTGACTGAAAACCCCTGCTACGTCTCCGATGATAGCTATATGAAAGCGTAAAGTTACTGTAAGCCGTTATTATGAGAGGCAAAAAAAATTTCCTGCCGCCAAATATATTGGGAAAAAAATATGTTGCGCTGCACTTTTACAGGAAAAAAATATCTGTCTCGTTCGCCTGGGCGGAAAAAAAATTCTTGCACAGACAGAATCTTCCACCCCCTCAAAAATCAAATGGTCCGCCCCTTACTGATATTTTTGTGTGTGTTTTTGACGTTGTTAAGATTATGCAACGCGCCAAAAACATAGGGGGGCTCAGCCCCTCCAAGTCAACATGAAATTTTAACAAGGGGTGCTAAGCACCCTCGAACCCTCCCTCCACTACACCACTTGGCCTATCTTCTAAGCAAGGAATTTTTTTTTTTGCACTATGCCTGGGAAGATTTTTTTTTTCTTAATTTTTTTCTGGAAATAAATTTTTTTTTGGTTTTGCCCCCCCCATCACTTTTCTAATGGTCCGTCCCTAATACCCAAATGAAACCATTCGTGATTCATAACCATTTGGCTAGGCGTGAGTCTCTGGGCGCAAGTTGTCAAAGACAGATCATTCTATACCGAAATTCCTTCCCTTTCCTCCCTTTTTCTTTAGTTTTTACGTGCTGTCATTTTCGATCATTTTCTTAATAGATTAGATTTGTTCAAGGTGATGGGAGAAGGTTGTACCTTTTTTGTTACAGTAAAACTGTTAATTTGTCGATATTGTGCACATTGAAACAAAAGGAACGAGTTAGGATTCTATCTACTTTATAATTAAAATATTGTTTTGTTGTTTTGTTGTGGATAAACGATCCGCTAAAAGTAATTTATACCTGTTGTTAAATTTAATATTAATTTAATATGAAAAACCTAAATTATACCTAAAATACGATAATAGTTGTGTTTGTTTTTGATAATCGTATTACATTAGCGATATATAAGTTCTTTTTGGGAAAATTTCTGTGCTTTGGCTTTTTTGTATTGAAAATTTGACAATTTAATTTTGCACTCGTTGACATACTTCAAAAGTCGGGGCTTAACTCGAGCAACAACTTTTTTGTCAAACTTCGAGTTAAGCCCCGGGGCTTAACTCGAATAACCCAAATCGTGTTTCGTTCTTCGAGTTAAGCCCTTTTTGAAAAAGGGCGTGGTCATGGCAAAACAGGGCGTGGTCGGTGCTTAACTCGAAAAGGGCTTAACTCGAGGGGCTTAACTGGAAGGGCTTAACTCGAAGATTCCCGACCTCGCTTTAATACGGTCAAATTTTCCGAAGTCTGATTTAGTTGTTTCAAAAGTATAGAATACACACACACTTCTGTATGGATTTCGTACATGTTGTACATGTCTTACAGTAAAAATACAAAAATTGTCCCACTTCCGCGGTTTGTTGTGATTTTAATACTGTAATTTGTTCTGTTTTTCTGTAGCGATTACCGATTTATCGGCAAATACCGCGATTTGAAAACTTACTTTTATTTATTTATTTCATTCTACAGCATTTATAGTTCTACAGCTATCTTATACAGTTTTATAATATTGTGAATGATTCCGAATATTCAAAACGAATTGAAAGAATGAAAGCAGTAATGATGTACTGTATAACGGTTTAAACTTAACCGGCCGTACAGCTCACTGCCACCGGTCACTGAGCAGAAGGATAAACCGAAAATTCACTTTTCTCATCACAAGATTTAATGTTCAGTCGATCCGCTACATTGAAAGATGAGTACTTGGCTATTTGTTGGCAGGGGTAACGAAATATATCGGCTGTTCTCTACAGAGTACAGTAAGTGTTTCTTTATGTGTTGCCCATCGGAATATAATATAACTACATAAGCTTGATAGATGTAAGATAACGAGTTTCACAATCCCATTTTAAATACTATGGCTTTTGGCAGCCTGGTTTTGCATCATATGTGTTTTTCAGTAAAAGCCCCATTTTCCTACTTCCCCAACGTCCAGGTGATCTCGTGTTCGTATTTTAGCCAATCAGCGCTCAGAAAGGGTTGTCCGAATAGAAATCCATTTTGATGTATTCAGTCAATTATATCTTTCGTTATTCTTTATGAAACTAGTTGAAATTTTGTAATTATGTTTGGTTATGAGAACTATAGCTCTGACAAAAATTTGGAATCGAAATAAAGTATATTACAGGAGATATTCAGTTGTTTTAATCATAAAATGGATTTCTATTTGACAACTAGTACCAGTACTTTTCCGCGTATCAAGATCACCTGGGTGTAATACGCGAAAAAAACTTTGTTAATAATAACAAAAAATTGTAATAGTAAACAGTGTATTTTATTATAAAGGATTTTCGTTTTTCTACTGCTCCGTACTTCGTGTGCTCCGTGTGCTCCGTGTGCTCCGTGCTCCGTGTTTTACTAATAGCCCTTTGGGGGCGGGTTTTGGCGGGAAAATCTGTAATGTTTGGAGAAGACAAGATGGCGCTGGTTACCTCGTGTCATATCAAAGGGCATTTTTGTTCACAAATACCCGCTTATTTTACGTTATAGCGACTGGTTCGTTTTGGAAATTATAACTCAATGGACGGGGAAAATGATTCTGTATTAAAGAGAAAATGATGTGCAGTTATTGTGATGTTATTTGTTGTGAAAGACGGCCCGAAATTTCGCTACTTAGCAGTACTGGTTTATAAAACATTTACAAGCAACAGCAATTGAACTATATGACAAAGAAACCAATGCATACAAGCCAATCAAGTTCTTCAGTTTAAAGGTCTGTTTACTTTTTAATAATTAGTTCATTTAGTTGTACATTAAGGGGTCACGTCCATATTCATGTTGCCACGCATAGGGTCATTCCATTTATTATCCGCACCCCCCCTATGGATGAGCTCTGGTAAAAATGTTACCTGTAGGAATCGGATTTCAGAGAAGTACCCTGTTGGAATCGACAGTATCAATCTAAACCCTAGGAATGCTGCTAATTGCCAATATCTCACTGGTAGGAATCTGCTAATTGCCAATATCTCACCGGTAGGAATCTGCTAATTCCCAATGTCAGACCGGGGGGGGGTGAGGATAATAAATGGAATGATTATGATTCTCATAATAAATATTTGGCAATATAGTATGCTACACCTCGACGGCAATATCTGACCGGTAGGAATCGGGCCGAAGGAATCTGCTAATTCCTAGCCTGCGAACAGGCCCTGGGTTGCGGGCGGCGCGAAGAATAGAGGGCCTGCATGGATGATAGGTTTTCTTGGTAGTGGCGTTCGTATAGAAACGCAGGCTTCTGATTGGCTTACACTCGTTGACAAAATTACTAAAAATAGCAAATGTCAACAACAGCATTTTGAAGAATTTGAACTTTATTCATTTTAATATTATATATTATAGGACTATCGAACAAATAAAACTAGAAATGGAAACCAAAAGCAATAGCAAAGCATCACAGCAAAAAAGTCTATCATAAATGACTTGAATCTATCGCTTAAATCCAATATACGAAACTATAACAGTATTCTGAACTTCGTCTTCGGATTGACATCAGACTATAGTATAGTACATTTTGAGGTCGTCGTGGCTTCACGGATTATTCTCATTAGTGAGCAAGTCAGCAAGCGAAGGCATACAAAAGATACCCAAATATGTACGAATAATTATATTGTCGATCCTCGCTGGCATGTCATTTAGATAAATATATATCGTACATTAAACGTTGTACTGTTTACTGTATATTAACTGCTGACAATTTCGTCGTCGATACGGCTTCCACTATTGGCACACTCGTGATTTCGAAGAAATTAATAAATACATGCTCATTTATCATTTATTTAGACCACAGTTAGTAAAATTTTAAACGTATTCGGTATTCCAAATCCCAATCTATCTGACCGTATTTTAGTAATAGCTTCAAAATATTCAGAACATTGTTCTTTCAGTCGCACATAGTACAAGTATTACTGTACATTCAAAGCCAATGGTAGTTTATTCGGCTTTATATTTGTATGTGTATTGATATCTATTTAATATTTGAAGAATTCTATATTTTTCCGAGTAATATATTGTGCGGCCCGCTAATGCTTTGTATTATTATTGTTCATGTTGCACAATGTACACGCCTTGCGTCAATTTGACAGTTGACAGTTTATTTATCGCAGTCGACGCTGATTGGTTAGCGTTTAGCAGATGCGAAAAGGGGATGAATGAATAAAACGCATGGTTCCGTGCAGGCTCACCTTTCTCCCAGTGAGCCTGTTTGCAGGCTAGCTAATTCCCAATATCTGACCAGTAGGAATCCCCTAAGTCCTAATATCTGACCGGTAGGAATCCGCTCATCCATAGGGGGGGTGCGGATAATAAATGGAATGACCCATAGCGTCGAATCGACGTTAACACTCAAACCCACCCACCCTAAATAACGTCGAACGTGGCAGTCACATTCTTCAAAACTTTCACAAAATTGTCATTTTGCCACGAGATTATCGATATAACGTCGAGAGAATTAAGATAAACCCACCCACCGTGGACGTGGATATGAATATGGACGTGACCCCTAATACGAAGTACTGGAACAGTACGCCTAGTCACAGAATAGGAAGGTATACCCATTGAACTAAAAATAACGAATCGATATTTTGTCATGTCAACAGCTTCAACTGGATTTAGGACTATTTTTCTCGCGTTTCCTTCGGTGAAAGTTTTTTAAACTTTGCACGTTTGCTAAGCATGATGATTCGCCAAACATATCAAAATTTCAAGAAATTCTATAAGACAGATTTTTTGTAGTCGTTATTCATGAATATCTCAAAACCGGCCTTATAAACATCCCTTCAAATTTTAATATGTCATTCCCCTTTCAACCATAAATCTTAAAAAAAAATTCAGAAAAATTGACCGAAGGAAAAAAAAGATATTGCCGTTTGATTGTAAAATTAGACAATAAAAGTGCAAAAGATGAAACGTCATGATTGCCATGGCAACACTAACACTGTTCCTATTTGTTCATTTTTCGACAGCAGAAGACTTCTGAACTTTCCTGGAAATGATTATATTGCCCTGTCTTACAGTCAATTTCAGCTGACTTTTCATCGTAAGATTCCGAACTTCGTTCCGAACTTCGCAAATTCATTGCCAAGTTCAAAAGTTCATAATGAAATTCACAAACAGGTTTGTAAACAAAGCCTCTGATTGGCTATTAAATCAAACCAGCCAATCAAATGCCCAGTTTACAAACCTGTTTGCGAATTTCATTATGAACTTTTGAACTTGGCAACGAATTTGCGAAGTTCGGAACAAAGTTCGGAATCTTACGATGAAAAGTCAGCTGAATTTGACTGTAAGTGTTTTCAATATAAATTTGGTTCAAAACGAAGGCTACCTAAAATACTTAAAATTTTAGAAAACTGTAGGGAGCCACCTTAAAAGGATTCTCCTCAACTTCCTTGTGGCGATTTTTGATTAATTGCGTGATTGCGAAGATATGGGCACAGAATAAAGACATACAGAAGTGTAACTTCCATTACAAAACCGTAAGGCCTTTTTTACCGAAATAGCTGGCGGCCATGTTCTTAGCAAGTGCCCTAAAGAGAGGCATTCACCCCCCTGGAATATTAAATTTTCAATATGTTTTCAGGGGGGTGACTGCCTCTCTTTAGGGCACTTGCTAAGAACATGGCGGACTGAAAAAATCTCTTACGCTCTTTTAATAAGAAGATACACTTCTGTATGTCTTTATTCTGTGATATGGGTCTTCAAACTTTGCCTTGCGCAAGCTTAAATACCACCCCTCGAATTTGTAGGTTCCGAACGGATTAGCGTTTTTAAAAGCCTTTCAAATCGAGGTTTGAGAGGTTTTATTTTTTAAAAGATACTTTTATCTTCATATTTTCACATTAACTTATTAATATCCTGTGTAACAAGTAAACAGGACACTTCCGGGCCGGGACAAGTTGACATGTCGATTTCTTGCTAAACAGCGTGGCGATCAATATAGCGAATACCTAAATACAGGGAATTTTTAAAATTTGTTGGTATAAATGGGATAAAGAAACTCATCAAATATTTGGACTATGGACCTTCAAACTTATGCCAAGTATTTATTTGATTGATTAGCTCAATAAGTGTTTTTTGGCCAGTTTTTCGTCGATTTCGACATTTAGTCGAGCTTAGTCGACTTCAGAATAATGTGTCAACATTGCGTGTTGCAGCCTGTGGACATGAATATTTTCGTTTGTTTGACCATAACACTTTTCTTCATTGTTTTTAATCCTTGAATGACAATATATTCATTGGTCTCAGAGTCGTAAAGTTAAGGAAGATGGATGACTTTGGGACAGATATCAAAATTTTGTTCAGATATCAAAATTTATGGACATATAGTCACAGTGACTAAGTCACTTATAGAAGTCACAAATGGGGCCTGTTCTTATGACCTAGCTAGGCAGGAGACAACATTTGCCACTATTGCCGATATACTATCCTGCTACTATCCTGGCTATAAGCACAATGTATCTGTTGCCAGAATCCCAACTATGCAAGCCAAGAAATTCACCATTTACAGTAAACATTCTATCCCACAACCAGGCAACATGAACTTGCCTTTAGGGTCCCATGCTGCCTAGCCCAGATCATATCAACAGACCCTTAGCAGATCCTGAAACTACAATTGGAACATTTTAGGCCATAATCTTGTAGAATCAACCAGGCATTGTTAGTAGTATAATATCACTCTTGCCCATATATATGGGCTAAATATACACCTGCCCATGGTAAGATACTGCCTCGTATATTAATTTTATATATGTTTGAGATTGCATTCACATGAAACAGCCTGGTTGAATTTATTGGCCCAGCATCTGCTTGAGCAAGTTGATATCCTGCATTGGGAGTCTCACACTAATAAAGGTCATAAGCTGGCCAACCAGCTCACTCGACTAAAAATCATGTTATAATACACAATTTGGCCCAAGTAAGTAAGAACTTGATTAATATAAGCCTTCTGAAGCTGTTGTCTTAACAAATTAACCAGCATTTCACACAAATTTCTTGACAACAGTTGCCAGGTTAGCCTGGCTCCTGTGAGGCAAATGACAAACTAGCCCTGAAAAGAAAATCCAGCCATGTTTGCTGGGCTAGCATGGCCCATTTTGACAGCCCTTAACAGGCAGAGCTTATTTTTGGAAGGGAGATCTGATTTTTGGAAGGGAGACCTATTTGTGAGGTTACTGGGGGCTTAATATTAGATTGCATTATATAATATGTGTAAAATATTCATTTGTGCACAGGTATTGTGGTAATGCACAAATTTATGGACTAAATATACAGGTATGTCCATAAATTTTGATACCTGAACAGCAACATTGAACAAAATCATTCTGTCCCAATGTCATCCATCTTCCTTAAGTTTAGGACTCTGAGACCAATGAATATATTGTCAATCAAGGATTAAAACCAATGAAGACAAGTGTTATTGTCAAACAAACGAAAATATTTATGTCCACAGGCTGCAACATGCAATGTTGACACATTATCCTGAAGTCAACAAAATGTGGAAATCGACGAAAAACGACCCAAGAAACAGTTATTGAGCTAATCAATCAAATAAATACTTGGCAAAAGTTCGAAGGTCCATAGTCCAAATATTTGATGAGTTTCTTTAGCCCATTTATACCAACAAAATTTTAAAAATTCCCTGTATTTAGATATTTACCATATTGATCGCCACGCTGTTTGGCAAGAAATCGACATGTCAACTTGTCCCGGCCCGGAAGTGTCCTGTTTACTTGTTACACAGGATATTAATAAGTTAATGTGAAAATATGAAGATAAAAGTATCTTTTAAAAAATAAAACCTCTCAAACCTCGACTGTGGGACAACTATATAATAGTTTTGTTTGTGGAAACACCACATAAATTTATTACTGCAAACCTTTCGATCCATAAGCCCGGATCTTCATCAGTGCTAATATGTGACTTGTTTAATTCACACACCCTTTTTATATACAAAAAATGTCTTGATCTGTTGGCTCGCATATTATTAGCACTGATGAAGATCTGGGCTTACAGATCGAAAGCTTGGCAGTAATAAATTTACGTGGTGTTTCCACAAACAAAACTATTATATGTTTTATCGCCATGCAAACATACAAAGAACTTATTGTGGGACAACTTTTTTACTGAAGTTATACATCTGTCTTAACTTAATCTGTGGTCCCCCTTTGCATTTGACCCAAATGTTTTGGTCATTTTATATTTGCCAATATAAATCTTTTTGGCATAGAAATTATACATTTGGAATAATAATTTTGTATGCTGCATTCAATCTATTCTCCATTCAGGGAGATTCTTTTGTAAATACCCACACCAATCAGAAGTCTGTATTTTTATGCTAAAACAGAAATTGGCATCCCAGAGAGTAAATTATATTCAAGTTTAGGGCATGTTGCAGCTCTATATCTTGCCGTTGCAAGTTGCTTTGCGTTTGATGTTTGTTCTGGGATAAAATATTGAATTATACCTTAAATTAATGTTTTGTGAAGTTTAGTTTAAATAATTTAGTAGAGAGATGAGTGCATAAAGCATAGGGATTTTGAAGCTAAATATGTTATAAAATTTGTCATTTTAGTGAATGCATTCTTTTCTGCTCGTCCTGGTTGTTGCAAGGAGACATCAGGCATTGTAATGGATGGATGACGATGTGTCGCTGGCAAACCTACACCGTGTGCATTTTCTTGGTGGATATCTTGGGCAAATGTGCAATATGACGAGGGATATCTTGGGCAAATATCTTATATAAATTGGTACGATTGGTTACCTTAAATTACTAAAGAAGGATGATGTTGTAAGGTTAGTGGATATTTATAATAGTGATAAAATGGGGGTTGCCTATGAACAGGAACAAAGTAAGGCTGCCTAATTAAGTGGAAACAATATTGCGCAGTGTAACAATCTAAAAATATGGTGGACTGAAATCTGTAAAAATGATGCATGTTTAATTTAAAACATGCAAAAATTGCGGCATAAATATATCACGAAACATGCTCCTTACAACTACATGCTATGTTTATAGGAATTTGAATAAGTTTTTAGTAGGCATGATTTAGGATTTTTGTTTTATTTTCATTTATGATTTTCTATAAATGCCCCAACTAGTTTATATCTAATACGTAATGTATAATATATAGATTGTAAATTTTTTGATCTAGAAAATAATAGAGTTCTTATACAACTACATGCTGTGTTGGGTTGTTAGGGTTGAATAAGTTTTTAGTAGGCATGATTTAGGATTGTTTTTATTTATGATTTTCTATAGACTGCCCCCCCCCCCCTCGTGGTGGAAGGATAACAGCCTGTGGCCATTTGTCACTAATGCTGCACAGTGACGTAGTCGTATAAATAGATATTTAACAGTCTGTGGCCATTTGTCACTAATGCTGCACAGTGATGTAGTCGTATAAATAGATATAATATTGTGCACTTCAGTGGCTTTCTAATTTTATTATCCAATCAGGTGTGTTACTTTAAATAGAACTTATTGTATGTAAACAAGGTCAATAGACAACGTTTGGGACAACATTGCTTTCTTTAACATATAGCATAATTTGTCTTCGTCATTCTGTGCACAATGAAGTATTGGGTCATTCCAGAAAACATACATATCCCCCCCCCCCCACGGAGGAAATAGGAAGTTAACCCCCTACCCCCTTCGGATGCCCTAATACATTTACTATTATCAGAAACAATTTTTTGTCCCCTCCCCCTCCGGACGGCAGAAATTTCCTCAGTGGGGGGAGTATGGATCTATTCTGGAACGACCCATTCAAGGCAAAGAAAATATGCAAGCATTAAATATCTCCTGCATTATTTCTCAATCCTTGCTCAATGACAAAAACATACTTAAATTAAATTTGTGCTCATGCTATGTTGATAGGAATTTGAAGTTTTTAGTAGGCATGATTTAGGATTTTTGTTTCTATTCATGATTTTCTATAAATGGGTGCCCACCTAATTTTGAGATATGATAGGAATTTATGATATCTTTATCACATAAAAGAGTGACAGTGTCATCACAACAGTATAAAAACCAATTACTGTGGGCTCAATTTTACAAATACTGTATAAATATACAATAACATAACTTAATTTATGAGAATAAATACAACTATCAGGAACAACAAGAGAGTGGAGTAGCAAGACTACAAGCAGTGTTACATTTCAAACAGATTCTTAGTTTATATTGATATCAGTAATGTACCATCTGTATAACATACA